AGATCAAGAGGCAGTATCTACCTTCCCATCCCTGTATGATTGTAAGCCTCCACTTAGCTAGCGGAAGAGATTATATTTTGTCTTATGTCAGGAACAAAATGCAGGAAATAAAATTTTATGCAAAATTTAGCAAGATAAATTGAGTGAAGCCAAATAGCTATACAATCAGAAGAGGAGTCTTTGGCATGGTGAAGATTGTGGGCTAAGGCTCAACAAAAGAGAGGGCATCACTAAACCTCCACCGATTTCACAGTGAAAATTTCACTCCTGAGTACAGAAAATTTATCCGACTCATGCCAAGTATATAGAATACTAATTTTCAAACACTGCTTGACTAGAGAGGGCAAATATTGGTAGAACAAAAAAAGCCTTTCTTTTTTTTTTAATCTATAAATCTGTAGGACAGAGATACTATGGAAGCAAAGTAGCATATTTTAATTAAGCTTCTCAATGTCATTAAACCTATTAATTTAATCAGCATTTTAATCAAGTTTATCTGCTATTTAAACTTTTCTGAAGAAACAAAACACAATTTCAAAATTAGGCTCAAATATCCTTAACTCTACCATTTTTGTGTGAGGAAAGAAAACTGGAACTATATAATTCTCCACTATTATAAGAGGGAGAGAATTCTGAGTATGCCTTTTTATGGTTTGGGCCTCTTTGGGAACTTGATAAATGAGCTTTTATTTCCCATAAATGCTAGTTATCATAAGTGGACACCATCAGAGCATCTTGGTCAGGTTCATATATGGATCCGTTTTGGTTCGGTTGATGAGTAGCTAGCAGTAATATCAGGAGGGGTTTGGAGGTTTGCCACAGATGCTTTGGGGCTTACTAATTCTTGAATTTGATAAGAGCCCATAAATCACACCAAAAAAATACACTGTGTCAGTATAGTTCTGGTTTCAGTTGTCTCCAGCCTTGTAGGAAGTTGACATTCAAAGTATAACTTGTAAACCTTCATACTGTAACCTTGGTTACTTATTTAACAACAACAAAAATCAACATATTTCCTTTCTCTCTGGGGAGTTGTTGACAAGTGAAGGAGCTCAGTGATAAGGGGTGGAATAAATAATTTCATATAGAGCCTAGTTATAGCATTTTTGCCTCTGAGTGAACTGCAACATTCCAGATGTTGACTAGATTTTGCTGAAAATCAGCTGCTAGCACCTGAGAGTCCCTCAATGTAACAGTACAACTTTACTTCCTACACCAAGAAAACACCTAGAAGATCATCAAGTCCTATGAAAGTGAGCAAATGAGCCACAAAGTCTGATTACAATCCAAGGGGCCACGTTGCAAAAACCCTCTTGGTAATTTTGTTCAATATGGCTTAAGTTTTACCATTCAGACAATAGTTTGACACAAATTTTACAAAGATGAGGAAGTCTTGAGTATAATAACAATTCACAATAGCTCCCATTAAGTTATTTTCAGGAAGATGAGCTAAGACGTGAGAACACTACAAAAAAGAGAAACAAAGGGGAAAATAGGCTGAATAAATAACCATTCCTTACTCAAATGTGAACTATTAAGGCTTTATAACACAAAACATGACATCTCCAATTATGCAATTTTATAATTACTTCTAAATAAGAAGCTCAAGATAGAAAGCAGGAATGAATAAAAGGTGAAGCTCTCTTGTCAGTTAATGGTGGGGACATGATGGCAGAAGGATGTTTCATAGACAATATCTCTATGGGAGAGGGAGTGCTCGCATTTTTCATCTTCAGTTAAGATCAAACTGATCTAATTAGGTTTCTCATCTCATTTAATGCTCAAGGAGGAGGCAGAATTCCCTTTAGAGACGCATGTTTTTGAGGAAAGCTGTTTGGAGAAAAGTTTGAATTTGATATATTAAAAATCAGAAGTTTTCTTCAAGGATCCAAAAATTATCCAGAAAACTAAAATGACAGAATTAGGAAGTTATAAAATATACTGTTAAATTAATAGCTGCTTACACAGTGAGTTACTCAAAAATCCTAAATATCTATACTATTTAGCGTGTAGGATATAATTTATCTGGAGAATTGTAACTAATGAAATATACAAATAATTAGAAAATTTTGGGTTTTTTTTCCTGATTGTGATAATATAGCCATATTATTTAATTACCAGGTAAGATCAATTTAAACCATACAGATATTAACCAGTTTATAATCAATGCATAATGATTCTAATTATTTTAATTTTCTGCATTCAGATTGATTATGAAGAATATATATACCCTATTCTTAGCACTTTATTTATTTATTTTTTGTTATTTATTTTTAATCAGAGGGGTTACAATTACATGGGCAAGGTAATGAGTACATTTCTTATCAAGCATTGTTGCCTCCTCCTTTGTTTCCCCTTCCCATCCCTTCCCATCTCCCACCCCTAACCACCCCTCCTCCCCCCACGCCAAAGTTGTAAAGTTCATTTTGACATAACATCTTGTACATCTTATTGGTACAATGGGTCCACATGTATCCCTATTTAAACAATTTGTTTTTCCCTTCCCCTCCACAAACTATACCAACATCAAATACAGTGAAAGCAGGGGTTATACCATGGGGGAGGGACATAAAAAGCAACAAAGAAATCATCTTATAAATATGTTAAGACACACTAGCAAGAAAGAAAAAAGATTTGAGTCCTTAACTTCGCGTTCATTTCTCGTAACATCAACTTATCTGACCATTTCTGCTTGTCTCAGACATATACTAGTTATTGCAAATATGGGAAACTGTGGGACCTATGTTTCTTTGGGCCTGGCTTACTTCACTTAATAGAATTTTTTCCAAGTCTTTCCATTTCCTAATAAATGAAACAACGTCATTCTTTCTGATGGAGGCATAGAATTCCTTTGTGTATATATACCACATTTTCTTGATCCATTCATCTACTGAAGGGCATCTGGGTTGGTTCCATATCTTAGCTATGGTAAATAATACTGCAATAAACATAGTTGTGCTGGTAGCTTTAGTATGGCCTTGTTTGTGTTCATTTGGGTAAATGCTCAAAAGTGGGATTGCTGGGGATTTTTTAAAATTGATGTTCCTCAAAAGACTCCATATAGACCATTTTAGAACTTAATTTCTGCTGCTTTCCATCCTTGCAGCCAATAAATACTCTTTCCAATGGAGTATAAAAATATAAACTTGCCAAGCACTGGTGTCTCATCCCTGTAATCCCAGCTACTTACCAGGCTGAGATTTGAAAATTATAATCCAAAATCAGCCCAAGAAGAAAGCCTGTGCAACTCTTATCTCTAATTAACTATCCAAAAAAACGCCACAATTTGAGCTGTGTCTCAAATGGTAGAGCACCAACCTTGAGCTATAAAGTAAGCAACTGTGCCAGACTCTGAGTTCAAGCTCCAGTTGCAGCAGAAATAACAAACAAACAAACCAAAATCTGTAAACTTGGTATCAGAATCTCAAACAGGTATCATGAGTATAAAGAATATCCCTATAAGACATTGCTAATATGATTACTAAGACATGATGAAGTTCACTTTACCAATTCATTTCCCTTCTTCCGTTGCAAAGTTCCATTTTTAAAGGTGGAAGCTAGCCAGATACAGAAAACTCTGTATTTGATTTTGACCAACAAGAAAGGAGCACTGCAATCTAGCACAGGAAGAGAAAGTGAGATATCATAACCCAACTACCTTCTCAGGAAAGTACAGTATTTCACAGCTATACAACTGGGAGATTTGCAACTATAGTCCAATTTGTGACAGCTGTAATTTGAAGGCCTGGGTACACAAACATCAGTGACATACCAAGAGTTGTAGATATCTATCCTTTGTCATTCCTTAGCAAAATTATACTGTTTAGTTAGTTTTAGAATGTTCTTAAATGCATAATGAGAAAATCCTGCCCCAGGTTTTATTATTTTCTGTATCATTGTACTAGAGAAATCAAAACCTAAAGATCCATCTCTGCTATCCTTGCTAATTTTGCCTTGTGCAATGGCTCTTCAGAAATAGTTTCTAGTGAGTGCTATCTGTTAGGATGTTTCTTTTAATTAATTCATCTCCAGAACAGCTTCAAAAAAATAAAAGCAAAACATTCATCCATGTGCCTTCTGCCCTTTTCACTAAACAATATATAGTCTTCCAAGTTTAATATGCCTTATGCATAACAGAAAGAATGACTCTGTAGGGTGGGTGATTTAGGTATAGAATTTCAAATACTTTAGGAATCATGGATACACAAAGGAAGCAATAAAAGCTTTACTTGTGGATTTCACAAATTCACAAAGGGTTTTCACAGGAAGAGAGATCTGGAATAATGGCATATAAAAATAGTTGACTCTCCTCATTATTTATGAATCCATATGAATCCTGACACTTCTATAAGTCTCTTGAAGAAATGTTAATAATACTTTTAGAAAGAGTGCCATTTTTTTCAGAGTGATTCAAAGCACGTACTGGCTGATTTTAGAAAATAGGAACTTGGGTACAACAACCACAGCGAAATCCTTACATTATTTCCTAAGCAATCAAAGAAGATAATGGACAAGGACAAAAATGTCATTTTGCAAACAATTTTGGTAGACAGCATTTCTCTGGACACATACTAAGGAGTCATCATATTTAAGTTATGCAATAAAAAAACTAGGATACCGAAAAGATAGCTAGTGCACAACCTGGAAACTATTATTTCCCTAGTACCAGCCTGTCCTAACTGCATTTCTAAATATTTCTAGCAATAAAACCCATAAATAACTAAGGCTTATGAGTCACTTATATCATGTGTGCTTATGATAGACCACCTTTCCTTAAACATACTTTCTTCACTGGGCTAAATTTCAAATGAAGGATATTATTTTAAATGTAGGCTAGTAATATGGAAAAAATTGCATAGCAACATTCTATATGTCAAAACATGTGCCACAGACTGAGTTTGTTTTTTTGTATGTTTTTTTTTTCTATGTGTGAAGATCTGGTAGCAATGCAGATTTAAACATCAGAATCTGTGTGGTTGTCAGTGGGGACAGAGACTCACCAGTACTTGTAAGGAAGTTGACATTTCTCATTACACCTTCAGTGTAGACCCCTGGTTCATAACTGTCCATTTCACCAGTGACAATGTGAGCGACTCTCGCTGCTCGACCTTTGATAGCACCTGCAGCCCGGTCTAAATTATCAGCATCCTGGTCTCTCAGGGCTATGATGCACTTGTTGACATCTTCCAGGATGTGGCTTTCTGTAAGTAAATGGATCACATTGATTTGGGATGTTTATTTTTTTAATATGTAGTTTTATTGTAAAGATTCTGTACAGAGGGCTTACAGTTACAGGAGTAAGGTAATTGGTACATTTCCTATCAAGCACTGTTACTGCCTCCTTTGTTTTTCCCCCACATCTCTTCAACTCCTCCCTCCCCCCACAAAGTGTAAAGTTCAGTTTTCAACATAGTGTTTTGTATATTTCATTGTTACAATGGGTCAACCTGTATCTATTTCAGCATTTTGTTATTTCCTTCTCCTCCTCAAATTAGAAGAATGTATATACAAGATTCAGGGCACCAGAATCAAATGCAGTGAAAAGAGGGGTTATACCATGGGGGAAGAGCATACAAAAGAAATAGAAAAATCACATAGTACATTATAAGTAGGTTAAAAACAACAGCAAGAAAGATAAAACATCTTGAGTTCCTATTGTGGGGTTCATTTCATTTAGCACCATCTTATATGGTCATATGAACATAGCTTTTGATCTTTTCTACTTGTCCTAGACATCTACTAGTCATTGTAGATAAGGGAAATCATCACCTATTTTCTTTGGGCCTGCTTTACTTCACAATATAATTTTTTCCAAGTCTTTCCATTTCCTAACAAATGGGGCAATATCATTCTTTCTGATAGAGGCATAGAATTCTATATACCACATTTTCTTGATCCATCCATCTACTGAAGGGCATCTGGGTTGGTTCCATATCTTAGCTATGGTAAATAATGTTGCAATAAACATTATGTGCTGGTAGCTTTAGTCTGGTCTTGTTTGTGATCATTCGGGTAAATGCCCACAAGTGGATTTACTGGGTCAAAGGGGAGCTCTATGTGGAGTCTTTTGAGGAACCTCCATACTGCTTTCCAAAGTGGTTGAACAAGTTTTCACTCCCATCAACAATGCAGTAAGGTTCCCTTCTGTCCACATCCCCTCCAGCATCTTTTGTTATTAGGGATCTTGATTCTAGCCATTCTAATTGTGGTGAGGTGGTATCTCAATGTTGTTTTGATTTTCATTTCTTTTATGCCTAGGGAGGTTGAGCATTTCTTCATATGTCTATTGGCCATCCTTCTTTCCTCTTCAGAGAAGTTTCTCTTTAAGTCTTTAGCCCACTTATTTATTAGGCAGTTGTTTCTTTGAGGATTTGTTTTTGGGGGATTTAATTTTTTGAGTTCTAAGTATATTTTATATGAGACCCTTGTCCATTGTGTAGCTAGTGAAGATCTCCCAATCCATGGACTTTCTATTGATCTTGTTAGCTATGTCCTGTGCTATAAAGAAGCTATACAGTTTCCTGTAATCCCATTGGTCCAACTTTTCTTTGAATTCTTGTGTTTCTGGTTCCTTATTAGACTGGGAGTGGTGGCTCAAATCTATAATCCTAGCTAGTCAGGAGGCTGAGATCTGAGAATTGCGGTTCAAGCCAGCCTGGGCAGGAAACTCCGTGAGACTCTTATCTCCAATAAACCACTCAGAAAACCAGAAGTGATGCTGTGGTTCAAGTGGTAGAGCAGTAGCCTTAAGCTGAAGAGCTGAGGAATAGCGCCCAGGCCCAGAGTTCTAGTCCCATAACCAACAAAAAGAAAAAAGAAAAAAAAAGAAAAAAGAAAATTTTGACCTGTGCCAAGGATCCCTAGAGTTTCTCCTATTCTTTCCTGTAGCCCTAGAGTTTCTCCTATTCTTTCCTATACTGTTTTCAGGGTGTTGGCTTTGACTTCGAGATCTTTGATCAATTTGGAGTTGATTCTGGTGCATAGTGATATATAATTTTAGTTTTCTACAGGTGTTTAACCAATTTTGCCAGCACCATTTACTGAAGAGGCTGTCTTCTTTCCATTCTACTTTTTTAGCTCCCTTGTCAAAGATTAGGTGGTTATAGATCTGTGGGTTCATTTCTGCATCTTCAGTCCTATTCCATTGGTCCTCAGGTCTGTTCCTGTGCCAGTACCAAGATGTTTTGATTACTATAGCTTTGTAGTAAAGTTTGAAATTTGGAATTGATATTCCTCCAGTGCTTTCTACTAAGGATTGTTTTTGCTATTCAGGATCTTTTATTGTTCCATTTGGGTTGCTTCTTCTATTTCATTGAAGAATGAGGTTAGGATATTGATGGGTATTATATTGAATTTGTAGATAGCCTTTGGAAATATTGCCATTTTCATGATGTTAATCCTCCCAATCCAGGATCATGGGAGGTTTTTCCATTTCCTTAGTTCTGCTTTAATTTCCTTTTTCAGATTTTTAAGGTTTCCATCATAGAGGTCCTACACTTCTTTAGTTAAGGTAACTCCTAGGTATTTTATATTTTTGTGGGGCTATTACTTTCCTGGGGCTATTGCTTTCCTAAGGCTATTGCTTTCCTGATTTCATCCACACTCTTCTCATTATTGGCATGTAGAAAAGCCATTGATTTGATTTTTGTTGGTTATTTTTTTATTTTTTTCATTTTTTTAATTGTGAAAATACCATACAGAGGTATGAGCAAGGTACATGAGCAAAGTACATGAGCAAGATAATGAGTACATTTCTTATCGAGCATTGTTGCCTCCTCCTTTGTTTCCCCTTCCCATCCCTTCCCATCTCCCCTCCCCAACTCCCACCAAAATTGTAAAGTTGGTTTTTACACATAACGACTTGTACAGCTCATTGTTGCAATGGGTCCACCTTTATCCTTATCTAAACACTTTGTTCTTTCCCTTCCCCTCCATAAATTATAACAATATCAAATACAGTGAAAACAGGGGTTATACCGTAGGCGAGGGACATACAAAGCAACAAAGAAATATTTTATAAATATGTTAGAAACAATAGCAAGAAAGAAAAACATTTGAGTCCTTATCTTGGAGTTCATTTCTCCTAACATCAACTTATCTGATTGTTTCTGCTTTTCTCAGACATATACCAGTTATTGCAAATAAGGGAAACCATGAGACCTATGTTTCTTTGGGCCTGGCTTACTTCACTTAATATAATTTTTTCCAAGTCTTTTTATTTCCTAACAAATGTGGATTAATTTTATACCCTACTACTTTGCCAAAGTTCTGGATCAATTTGAGTAACTTGGGAGTGGAGTCCATGGGGTCTTTAAGTATAAGAGCATGCCATCTGCAAAGAGGGAGAGTTTTACTTCATCTTTCCCTATTTGGATCCCCTTTATGTGTACATCTTGTCTTATTGCTCTCTAGCTAGGCATTCTAGTACTAAATTGAAAAGAATTGGAGAGAGTGGACATCTTTGTCTTGTTCCTGAATTTAGAGTAAATGGCTTTAGCTTTTCCCCATTAAGTATAATGCTGACAGTAGCTTAGTCATACACAGCCTTTATTATATTGAGAAATGTTTCATGGGTTCCTAGTTTTTTCCAGCGTTTTCATCATAAAGGGGTGTTGGATCTTGTCAAATGCTTTTTCTGCATCTATTGAGATAATCATGTGGTTCTTATCCTTCCTCTTGTTGATGTGATGAATTATATTTGCATATATTGAACCAGCTTTGCATCACTGAAATGAATACTGTTTGATCACGGTGTATGATTTTTTTAATGAGTTGTTGAAATCAATTGGCCAAAATTTTGTTGAGAAGTTTTGCATCAATGTTCATCAAAGAAATAGGTCTATCTCTTTGTTTGATGAATCCCTGCCTAGTTTGGGGATGAGGGTTATGATGACTTCATAGGAAGAGTTCGGTAGTGAACTTTCTCTTTCAATTTCATTGAAAAGTTGGAGGCTATTGGTGTGAGTTCTGCTTTGAAGGCCTTGTAGAATTCAGCTGTAAATCCATCCAGTCCTGGGCTTTTCATGGGTGGGAGCTCTCTAATTGCTGCTTCTATTTTGATGCTTGATATGGGTCGGTTAAGTTGGTTTAAATCATCTTGGTTTGATTTCGGCATGTCAGTATTTGCTAGAAATTCATCCATTTCTTCCGGATTCTCACCTTATTAGCATAAAGTTTTGAGGTGAGTTTATTTTATTTATTTATTTTTGTCAGTCGTGGGGCCTGAACTCTGGGCCTGCACTCTAGTGCCTCAGCTCTTCAGCTCTAGGCTAGCGCTCTATCACTTGAGCCACAGCGCCTCTTCTGACTTTTTCTGCTTATGTGGCACTGAGGAACCGAACCCAGGGCCTCATGCATGCAAAGCAAGCATTCTACCATTGAACCACCTCCCAGCCTGGTGAGTTCCTTTTAATCACAGAAATCTAGCATATAATATTAACATCTGACCATACACACTAAGGAGGTGAAAATTAATTTTGAAGGAAAATTAAGATATTTTTATAGAAAATTCTCTGAAATACAAAATATGCATTTGAAGATTTCTTTTGATTGATTACATGTGATTCTAGTTTAAGTTGATATTAGATTGGTGTAGTATGTAGGTTGAGTTTAGTGATAGCTTTTAGGTTAAAATGAAAATAAAATAAAAATGATGGAACACAGAATTCTCAATGAAAGCAATATTACAGAGATTCAAAACTAAAAATATTTGTTAAATATATGAAGAATAAAATCCTAGAGTTCCATTTTGTTAATGATAATTGACCTGCTATATGGTTTAATAAAATTACAGAAATATTCTAAATAGGTATACAATGAAAAATGTGAAAAATACAATTTTATATTGTAAAGAAATAACCCTGAAGACTGTGAACACACAAGCACTCACACATACACACAAACACAAAATGTTGTATAAAGTTTTAAATATTAATTGGAACAAATAAATTCCCAGAATAAAAGTAATATTTTGAAATATGTTCCCAGATTTCCTCTCCCTTCCCTCTCAACATGATTACGAAAAGAAAATGAGCTATTATTATAGTACAGTAACACCTTTTTTCCCTATAAAATGGTCAATATTCCCAGACAGAACTAGTGAGAGATGGGTAAATAGGTTCAATATTCACAACATGGGCAATGATTTGCTTTTGCTTGTTGGTCATTTTTGAGAGAGAAGATAGCACTGTGTGACACAGCC